AATGAGAGCACAGTGAGAATGCCAGTGTGGCCAATGAGAGCACAGTGGGAATGCCAGTGTGGCCGGCACAGTCTGACTTGCCTGAACGGTCCCTGAAAGACGGGCATTAACATCGTGCATTTGATTTCCGTTCGCCATTTGTTTGGAACAAATCTTGAGTCAGCATGCACCTTCAGGAGACCAGCCTTTCGGTGGGGAGGCCTCCAGCTAAGCTGCTGAGATGCACATGGAATCATCCGGGCCTTGCACTTAGGACTAAGGGAAATTTCACCCCCTCCCAGCGCTCTACCCTGTTTGTTTATTTTCCCTGCTAGCCGATTCTGCCAATCGAGGCTGCAACAGCAAACCACCTTAAAACCAGGTCCCTGGGGCCTGAGAGATGGCTCCGTGGTAAAAAGCCCTGGCTGCTCTTGTAGGGTACCTGGGTTCACTTCCCAAAACCTGCATGGTGGTTCACAGCTGTCGGTAACTTCAGTCCCAGGACACCTGACACCCTCATCTGGTCTCTGCGGCACCACAATAGAGTGGAAAATAAATAAATCTTTCCAAACAAAACTGACATCTTGCTAGCTTCTACTCCTGAGTGGTATTATAACTGGGAGAGGGATTTTTGGGGGTGAAAAAAGAAAAAACCTGATATTTCCATATGATTCAAATACCTTAAAATAAAGCCTTCCCAGGTAAACATGGGGCTTTTAGTAGATTCGCAATGTTGGACAACCACAGTTTCTGTTTTATTCTGAGACCTATACATCATCTCCCCAGAAGATGTGACCTGAGGAACCCCTCCTGCCCCCCACTCCCATTACCTGGGCTCCTAGGAGACACCAACCCCTGTCTTCCAAGCCTTTGGAAACCGCCAATCCATTTTCTCTCATTTGCTGTTTTGGGAAAATTTATATAAATGGAGTAAACAATATGTGGCCTTTGTCTGTCCTCTTTTACTTGGTGTCATAGTCTCCTGATTCACCTGTCACAGCATGACTTAGCACTTCGCTCCTTTTTCAGCATGACTCAGCACTTCACTCCTTTTCCAGCATGACTCAGCTCTTCACTCCTTTTTTCATAATGACCCAGCACTTCACTCCTTTTTCATCATGACTCAGCACTTCACTCCTTTTCCGGCATGACTCAGCACTTCACTCCTTTTTTTTCATCATGACCCAGCACTCCACTCCTTTTTCACAGCTGAGTAATACTCCCTCTGGTTTTCTACCCCTCAGTGAGCGCACACTTGACTCTTTCAATGGTGTGCTGAGTACTGATGACCAAGATTTTGTGAGGACTTTGTTTTCACCTCTCCTGGATTTGTTCACTCCATCTGACTTTTTTGTAGCACTGCCAAACTGTTTTTCAAGATGACTTCCCTGGTTTTCCTACCCTGCCAGCAGCAAGAGTCTCAGTTCTTCACACCCTCACTGATGCCTGTGGGTTCCCTGTGGCCACGCCAGTGAGTGTGAACCAATATCTCACCATGGCCTCGAGTTACATTGTTTTAATGATTCACAATGTCGAGAACCTTCTCAAGTGTCAATTGACCATCTGCACTTATTCTTAGAGAAACATCAATCAGAGTCCTTGCATGGTTTTAAATTAATTTTTTTATGTTGAATTTTAAGAGTTATGTATATTTTCCAGGTGTGGTGGTACATATCTTTAATCCAGTACTCAGGAGGCAGAGGCATGTGGATCTCTGTGAGTTTGAAGCCAGCCTGGTCTACATAATGTATCCCAAGACAGCCAGGGCTATGTTTCAAACCCACCACCCAAGAAAAGAATCATCTATATTTTGGATACAAAATACTTGGCAGATATATGATTTGAAAAAATACTTTCGCCTGTGTGTGATCTTTGGCAAATCATTTTAAGGAAATCGATATAAATATGGATTACATATTCTGGCCAGTAGGTTTACTTGAGACAGCAAATGAAATGCAAATAAACAGGAAATTGGCATGATTATGACCTTCATCTTAGTTAAGGATTCTATTGCTGTGATGTAACACCATAACTAAAAGCAAGTTGGGAGGAAAGGGTCTAAACGGCGTACACTCTCACATCACTGGAAGTCAGGACAGGAACTCCAGCAGGACTAGAACCTGGAAACAGGAGCTGATGCCGTGGCCATGGAGGGGTGCTACTAACTGGCTTGCTCCTCATGGCTTTCCTAGCCTGCTTTCTTATAGAACCCAGGACCACCAGCCCAGGGATGGCACTACTCACAATGGGCTGGACCCTCCTACATCAATCACTAACTAAGAAAATGTCCTACAGCCGGATCGATATTATGAAGGCATTTTCTCAATTGAGGTTCCTTCCCTTTACATAAATATAGCTTGTGTCAAGCTGAAATAAAACTAGCCAAGACAACTGACCCCTTGTCAACTTGACACACAAACTCATCACTATTAAGACACAACCTTTCCTTTCTTGTCTGTCCCCAAGATCTCACATTAGTATGAATATCACAAAATAAAATATTCCAAAAAAATTCAGCCTCTTTAAAATCCAGAGCCTTTTCATTCAACGTCTCTCAGCTGTGAGCTCCTGTAAAATCAAAAGTAAATGCTTCAAGAGGGAAGAGCCAGAACACAGTCATAATCGAATCAAAGCAAGAGCAAACTCCAAGAGAAACTCAAATGTCCAATTACAGGGGTTCTGGCTCCTCCAGGGAGCCTGAGTCACTTCTCCAGTTCCGCCCTCTGCAGCACACACTGCCTGTTTTCCAGCCTCCGGCTGACTCCGTTCTACAGCTGCTGCTGTTTTTGGTGGCCTTCCCATGGTACTGGCATCTCCAAAACGCTGGATCTGCTGCGGCAACGGGGCTGCAGGCTTACCAATAGCCTCTCATAGGCTCTCTTCACGGTGCCAAGCCTCATCTGCTCTGCATGACCCCTTCAGTCCTGGGCCTTCAACTGCCACCAAGGCTGCAGCTTCACCAGTGGCCTCTCCTGGCCTCTCCCCGTGCTGAGCCCCAGTTGTTCTCCATGGCCCCTTTGTGACTTCAAAACCAGCACCAACTAACACTACCGAGTTTGGCTGCCAGTACAACCTTGGCCGTGTCTGGAACACAGCTTCTGCGTGCTGACTCTCAGGAAACACTTTACAGATTTTACCTCAAAGATGCTGGTCTCTTCTTAACCTCTGTCAATTTCTCAGCTCCAGCTGACCAGCAGAGAGCATCCCAGAAAAGCAAAGGTTTCACTTTAGTGGTTCTGGTTGTTAATCACAGCGGGCTCCTCAGCCATGACTAATCAGAACTGTGGAATCTTAATTCAAAATAACAAAAGGCCCCTGTAGAGTCTTTGAACTTTGACCTTTCCTCTGAACGGTCACAAGCCAAACCTCCATCCTCTGCACTGCCCTCAACATTCTTATCTTCCAAGGTCCCACAGAGCAGCTCGCCAAGCATTGAGCACTCAATGGCTTTTCTATCCTAAAGTCCCAAAGTCCTTCTGCAATCCACCCAAAAACATGGTCAGGTCTGTTACAGTAATACTCCACAATCTTGGTGCCAATTTGTCTTAGAGTGTCTATTGTCATAATGAAACACCATGACCAAAAAGCAAGTTGGGGAGGAAAGGGTTTCTCCAGCCCACACTTCCACACCACGGTTCATCATTACACAACAGGATCTCAGGCAGGGCAGAATCCTAGAGGCGGGAGCTGATGCAGAGGCCATGGAGGAGTGCTGCTTACTGGTTTGCTTCCCATGGCTTGCTCAGCCTGCATTTTATAGATCCCAGGACCACTAGCCCAGGGGTGGCATCACCCACAATCAGCTGGGCCTTCCCCTATCAATCACTAAGAAAATGGCCTACAGCCAGATCCTATGGAGGCATTTTCTCAGCTGAGGTTCCCTCCTTTCAGACGACTCTAGCTTGTGTCAAGCTGACACAAAGTGTCCTGCACAGTTTTCCTCGGGCTCCTCGATGTCCGCACACATCAGTAGGGACGACTGCCATAGTCAGGGGTGGGGTGCTTCCCAGTGCCGTCTGAGACCTGAACGCCACTGAAAAGCATTGTTAACTGCTGCTGGGAAGCCCTTCCACCACGCTGATGCCTTCACCCTCTGCAGGAGCACAGCCACCTCTGAATGACCACAGACCATCAAAGAGGACGACCCCCAGCTTCCTGTCCTGCCCACTCGCCTGCAAAGTCAGCACCTTCCACCTCCTTCTAGCCCCAATCTACCTGGTTCTTCTTTTCCTTCTCTTCTAGCCCCTTTCTTCCAGTTTGAATCTCAACACCCTGAATGATAGATAACCTTCTCTCGAACCCAAGGCATCTTCAGCCACCTTGCACTTACTTTGTCATCAGTAACAGACGGACCGCACCACTGGCTGCCAACTATCTTCATGTCTTCTGACCTTTGTTGCCCTCCACACTCTACAGGTGGTATTAATTTTGAATATCCCATCCCTATCCTTTCCATAATCCAGAGATAGTGCACACTTGTTGAAAGTATCCAGACACGCCCTTCTCTCTCTCTTCTCTTTCTTTTTCTCTCTCAATATTTTCTGGCAACATCAATTGCTACCCAGGCTTCTAAACCTTAACACAACACATGCATGTACACACGCATGCATGGTACACACACATGTACACACATACACACCAGCCTCTCCTGCTCCCTGTATATTCATCACCATATCATTTCAGTTCCAAAATGCCTCCCAGAAATGCCTTCATCTTTCCCTGTGCACTTCCCCTGCTTTCCTTCTCTCTCACCTCACACCGCTGCAGCACCCACATCTCTGGAAAGTAAACTCTGCTGGCCCTGCTTCTGTATCTGGTCGTTTCCTTACCCACCTGTCTCTTCTGCCATTCAAACCTCCCTTGCATCTGCCAGACACAAAGGAAAGAATTCAGTTTGCTTTGAGTTCACATCTTTCGTTCTCTGATGCGGGCTTTTAGGCATCCATTATATGGAGCAAAGGTATTTCAGCACATTTACTCGGTGCACAGACTGCGTCTGCTTGAAATATGTTTCATTTCAGCCTTGAGCACTTAGCACATTTCAGCAGAAAATGCCGAGAAGATAATTTGTACACCCATCTGCCAGATGAAAACAGCAATACTCAGCACCTATGAGCGTTCACAATAATAGGAATGGCCCTGGCCACAATAAAGCCCCGACATTTCTCTTCAGACGGATTTCACAGCTGTCTTAGGCTGTTATCCCCTAGAGTCAAGGGTTGCTGATCTAAGCTGCTGTCTCTAAGTCCCCAGGGCCCAAAACACGCTTGTAAACTCACAGCTGCGAAGACCAAATATCCATCTCTGTTTTGGCAGAGGCACATGAGGCATGCAGCGTGGTCTGTATCTCCAAGACGAAGTTTGCTTTATTTTAGAGTTCTACATTTATTTTAGCATGGATGCTTAAAAATATGACTATTGTGTGTTTTGCAAGATGGTACACCCTCCAAAATTAATGGTGAAACACGATCCCCCAAAATGCTCGAGATGATCATGTCATGAAGACTCTGTCCTCCTTATAAAAGGGCTCAAGACTGACGGGACAATTCTCCAGTCCTCATGTTCCTTCTTCCCTGTGAGGACAGTGTGTCTCTGGAGGCTGCAGCGACGAGACACCCTCGTGGAAGCAGAGAGCAGTCCTCGTGTTGCTAACACGTTTATCTCAGACATCCCAGTCCCCAGAGTGAGAAATAAATCCCTGCCGTTTATAAATTCCCAGGATGTGGCATTCTTGCTAAGGCAGCACAAAGAGACTACAACAAACCAGCCAGCCAGATTTTCACATTTCTAGATATTAGGACCTAAGGCCAGGCTAGCTCTCTTTAAAATCGAGTCTATTTAAGGGAAAAAATAAACAAAGAAATAGCCATTATCCATCAAGTGGCTATATGTCCCAAGTAGTTTCTTCTGTATTTCTCTTTTCAAGAAAACTTCGGGGGCGGGGGGAGTGACTGGGGCAGGGGAGGGGCTCAGCTTATAAACTAGGATTCTGAAGCAGGTGAGTGAGCCAGTTTTCCCAGCAAGCACAGCTGATCTGTAGCGCGAGCAGCATCGGTGCCCAGGCAGGCTGCTCAGTGAGTCATCTAACGCCCCTTGCTATGCTGCACTCCTAAGTGGAGGGCCAGCAGGAGGGTGCACTTTGGAGAGGGTGTGTGAAATGAGCTGGGGCTTTGCATGTGGTGCTCTGTCCCCACCAGGAAACCAGACAGAAAACCGAATCCTACACCATGCAACAGTGCTAAATATTTCATTTTTACCTGTCAGAAACGTAGCCAAAAGTAATTGATCCCAGCATCACGCCACATATAAACAAGGGCTGGATCATGTATGCATACCATTTCCGGTCGCAGACCAGGTTCAGTCTTTCCACCACAGAATTTCTCCCTTTGCTTTGGTCATACACATAGCCATCAGAGCAGGGGCTGTCGAGCCCATAGCCACTGGACTCATTGCCCAAACGGGACGTGTTCTCCCTCCAAGTCCTGCTACATCTTGTGAGCTCCCAGATCTCCCCATCCTGCAATTCCACTGTAATGTGATCTTTCTGGTCTGGGGACCGCAGGGCCAGTACGTCCTCCAACGTCCAAGCAGATAAGTTATGGAAAACAGCCTTCAGAATCTTGCCTGGGGGCTTGCAAGTATGCTCGGGGATACTCGACATGAACACAGAAGCCAAGTAGTGGATGCCACAGGAGATGTTCTGGTAGGCACATATCAGATACAGGAATATCTGGAACCTGTAAAGAAAAGAGAGGGCTGGTTGTTATAGCTGGCCTACGGATGGGACAAGGACACAAGTACGTATGGAGGGACTCCATCTGGTCAACCTTAATACACTTAGACACATATAGATGGGTAAATACAAAAATAATTGTAGGTGCTTCTCTCTCATACAAGTGAAATATGTATTATATATGTAAAATTTCAAGTAATGCACGAAATTTTAGTTCCACTCTCATCTCATTAGGTCATTCCAACATACAAGCTTGCTAACCAGTTCATGGACCAATCAACTTTTGTTCAGCAAATAAGTCACGGAAAAGATTGGAAAGACAATTTAACTTAAAAAACCTTCATAAGTACTAATTTTTCTAAACCAAACATGAGCATATCTCTACTTTTCAACCTGTGATTCGAGCACTGGGTGTCACCATTTACCCTTGAAGGTAATAAAGCCTGCTCGCACTTTGACCAGAGATCAACAGCCATAGCCCCAAATTTTAGTTTGTTCATTCTGCCTCTAACCGCAGAACGTTGAGGAGGCCTGAAATGTGAACTTATTTCAACGTTGACCAAAAGTCAGAGAGTTCAAACTCGCCTTTAGTTCCTTCAAGGTTATTGTGCTTCTACCTCAAACAAAGGTACCACCTAGACCAGAGACCAGAGAGTTCTGCCCTCTCAAGGTTATTGTCAGCAGGTGTGGCTAATTGCCAGACCTTGTGCTCCAGGAATAGAGAAATAGATTGTTCCTATCTCAAACAAGAGTCTGAGCACCCGACTAAGTTCCAGTTCCTTTATGGAGATAACTTGGGATTCCACCCAGGGAGAGGTTTGCCTACAGTTTTGGTCTAGGGTGTAAGCAAGACTTGTTTTGTTCTAGCAACAGAATGTTTAACTATGAATGTGGTCCGCGACTCAATGGTCTGTTCATTTCCCTGTATCATGTTAAAGCAGTCTTTTATCTTACTCCTACCTTTTAGGGTCAGGGATATTTTAAGCAGTTGGAAATTAAAGGCGGGTGAATTTTCAGTACTCACTGGAGTTCCTCCTGATACTATCCTATATGTTTCTCTGTTTTATTATTTTCGTTCACATCTTCATATTCTTTACTATATTTCTAATCTCCAAGCCTTTACCCTGGCTATTTTTATTATGACTCCTCCCCGACAGAACATTGGGTTAAGTTACAGCAGCCGGCGCTGACAGCCTGGGAGATGCAGACTCTGGGCTTGAAATTCAAAGAAAGCCATGAGAGGTGTCCCCATTACTGTTTCTGTCAACTTGACACGAGAGTCATTTGAAAAGAGGGACTCTTAGTGGAGAAAATGCTTCCAACGGATTTGCCTGTAGGCACATCTATGTGATGGGTTTTCTTGATTTGGGAGGGTCTACCTCACTGTGGGCAGTGCCATCCCTGGGCTGGTGGTCCTGGGGTGTGTAAGAAAGCAGACCAGGCAAGTCATGAGGAGCAAGCCAGTATGCAACATCTCTCCATCAGCTCCTATCTCAGGGTTCCAGCCTTGAGTTCTTGGCTTCCCTCAGTGGACTATGACCCAAGCAAGATATTTATGCCCAATAAAGCTGTTCCTCCCCAGGTTGGTTTTGGTCAGTATTTTTATCATAACAATAAGAGAAAATTAGATATGCTGTTTACCTGAGACCTTTGGGCTTGTATCTAACCAGGCTCACCCTCATACTCCTCATACTCCATGTCTGTCTCCACAGAGATTTACATAATGCTTCCCCTAGCAACATCCACGGAGACAAGAGGGGAAATCAGGGCTCACCACATAGTCTGTTCACTAGTTTTCTGTGGGAAACTAAACAGTCACATGCAGCCCTCTCTTCTATCTGTAAATAATAAGGATATGCTGCCCTAGAAAGGTTTAGACTACTCTGTTTTATTAATTTAGTGGTATCAGAGTTGGCTCCATTGGTGAAGTACCTTGCCACACAAACTGAAGGACCTGTCGGCAGAGACTGCTCATTCATTTCCCAGCCACCCAGACCCAAAATAATCACACAGAAACTGTATTAACTGCAATACTATTTGTCCAATAACTTAAGCGTGTTTCTAGCTAGCTCTTACATCTTAAATTAATCCATGTCTATTATTTTATATTTTACCACGAGGCTCATGGTTTATCAGTAAGGTTCCAGAGCATCTGTCTCCTTTGGCAGCTATATGGCATCTCCCTGACTCCGCCTTCTTTTCTCCTCTATCTCTGCTTAGAATTCCCACCTTGCTCTATTCTGCCCTGTCATAGGCCCAAGAAGCTTCTTTATTCATTAGCCAATAAAAGCAACATATATATAGAAGGACTTCCTACACCAAGGACCTAAGTTGAGATCCCCAGCACTCACTTAAAAAGTCAAGTAAGGCAGCCAATAGATATAATACGGATGTTGCTGTGGTGATAGGGAAGACACTGAGGCTTTGCTGGCCACAGGTCGCCTCTCAGTGAGCTCCCAATCCTGTGAGAGACCCTGTCTTAAGAAGCAAGATGGAGGAGCTGGAGAGATGGCTCAACAGATAAGAGCACTTGATACTCTTCCAGAAGACCCTGGTTCAATTCCCAGCACCCACATCAGGCAGGCAGCTCACAAATGCCATTCACTCTGGCTCCAAAGGATATGACACTCACCCCACCCCTGGCCTCTGTGGGCACAAACACACTGGAGGGCAACTGAGGATGACTCCCAACAGTTGACCTCTGGTCTCTGATTGCACATACATGTGCACACATAGATACATACATATCCATACCACACATACACAAAATAAAATTAATTTAAAAACAACACAAAGGGCCAACTAGAACAAATGGATAAAACAGGGGGTGGCATCTAATGGGCACACTGACCTCACTTTCTGCTAAAGGCATCTGACCTTTCTCCAAGAACAAGCTGCCTCCCAGAGACTAGGGAAGTGGGGCAAAGCCAGGACTTACTGAGAACTTACTAGATTGTAAGACTTTTACCTGCATCACTGTGGCCAACTGCAAGTCATTTCTAAAAAGACTTTGACCACCTTCTCCCACCCGAGGAGCTGTGTCTTGACATTGAAGACGTTGGGAACCGCTGCTGGGGAGGGAGGTTTGCTGTTGACAGCAGCTTTGCTCATGCCTGGTCCCTGAGCAATCCAGGGGTAGAGTCCTCTTGGGACAGACCCTCTGCAGTTCAGGCTGGTCTAGAACTCACTGTGGAGACCAGGCTGGCCTCAAGCACTCAGAAGTCTCCTGCATCCTTCTCTCTGGGATTACAGACGTGAGTCACCACACCTGGTCATTGAGTGATTTCTAAGCTAGAACCTTAACCAAACACTGACTACGACATGTCACCTACTTTAGCCAGCTCCTAAACACATGGAGGAAATAAGACATTATTACCTCCTGTCTTACAGGGAGCTCCTGAAAGCTCCCATTATTACAGGGGGCTCCGGTGGGCCCCACGTGTCTATAGAAACCCCATACTAACCTTTTCTTTTTGTTGATCCTTTTTAAAACCCTGTCTTTCTAGGTAGCTCAGGCTGGCCTGAAGCTTTCTGTCAGTTTCTGTCTGTCACCTCCCCCAAACTGGAGCTACATGTGTGTGCCATCTCTGACCTATTAAATATTTCTAGAGAATTATTTGTAAGCATCTAAAGTTCATTATGGGCCCCATTTTACGGATGAGTAGTAGTCAATGAAACATTCAGGCCCGTTATAGTTCACTTGTGGGAGATGACCCCTTTGTCTCTATGCGACTCCGCGGCGGGCCTCTAACCCTACAGCCTCCATTTCAGTCATTCAGAGACTCTAACACGTCTTCTGCAGTGAACATCAAACTAAGAACTGTGTGGAAGCTCCCTACAGAGTACCTGGCACACGTCGGGTATCTGTGTGGCAACCAGCCCAGAGAACCGACCAGGCCCAGAGGGAGAGCCTACTGGGACATAAACAGCCATCTTGAACACTGGAAAAGAAGCCAGTTAGGCTGGCAGGGTTTTTACTAGACCTGTGACCATGCCTCCCAATTGTGATTTTCCAGCTGATGGTCTAGAGAGCACCCCAAGTCCCAACTTCCCCGTAGGGGCACGACTATTGCCTGTACCCACCAAGCAGACTCCAGCGCCTCCTGTGGCCAGAAGCCAAGAGGACAAACCAGGCCATGGGCTGTGGGCCAGGCCTCTGGAAGCGCTGGGCAAAGAGGACGTGGAGTCGCTGTAGAACCCCATCCCAACCGACAGAAACAGACGCCTCTGCGACCAACCCCACTCTGGTCCCAAATCCTTCTCCGCCTCCCTACTTGCCAAAGTGTCCCACGTGGTCAAAAATCAGTTCCACGTTGCACGACTCCATGTCCCTGTCGCGGATGGGAATGCCCTGGACTGAGAGCGCCGCCCCCACCGGCCCTGCCCGCCGGGTGTCTCTGCACCCCCCACCGCACCCCCACCTTCCTTCCCAGCAGCCCACGAGGCTTGGGGTGGCGGCGCAGGGCACACCCTGATGCTCCATCTCACGTGCCTTCAACTTTGTTGGATGATTTCCCACACTCTCCACGCTCCTGGGACATCCCCATGATCCAGGAAAAGCACCAGCCCGACTGGGCCTCGAGTCTTCAAGAGCACCCCATCTTCAGCAGAACACGTCCTTGCTTTCTAAGCTGTCTTGCTTAAGAATCCACCGTATAGAGGGTTTTAAGTGCTCGTTTATTTATTGATTCCACTCCCTGTAACCAAGCTGGCCTCGTCAAACTCAGGAGCCTCCCGTCTCTGCCTGCCCTGCCCACCCCTCACCCCCAACACCAGCCCCCAGTGTTAGGATAGCAGGCCAACATGATTTTTAAGCCCTTTTTCTTTCACACTCCATAACCTTTTTTCCTGAAGAACATTCTTGCTGCTCAACCTTTAAAATAGAACTTGAGAGCCCGGAGAGATGGCCCAGCAGTTGGAGCGTTTGCTTGGAGCAACAGCTACTGGAGGCTGTAACTCTAGCTCCAGGGATTGGTCGCCCTCTTCTGGCCTCCACAGGCACCTGCACTTAGGTGCACACATGGATAATTTCAAACGTAAACGAACTGGTGAACTCCCCCTCTGTGCTGAAATATTAACGGGCTTGATCTTATACAGGTCTTGTATGGGGAACCACAGCCGCCGTTAGTTGTTGGGTACAATAATCAATGGTCTTGTGACACCCAGACAATGCTGTTTTAATCAGGTCCCACACACACCTCTGGCCCTTAGAATCTCTCTCCCTCCCTTCCTCCCCCACCCCTATCCCCCCTCCAATGCTTCTCTGACTCGTCTACACTCTGCCTCACTCTGGCCACCCGGCCTCCTCACGGACCTCACACACAGCCCTCACCCGAAACTCTGGACTTTCATCCTCACTCCTCCTTCTACCGGAAACTTCTTGGCTCTTCGGTTGCTCCACTGTTTAGATGTTGCCTTTGCTCCTCTAACACTGATCATCATTATTGCCTAGCCTCTTTTCAGCTACCCTTTTTTATTTTTCTTCAACCTGATCACACACATAATACAACATGTAGCACCTGATCTCACTTCTGTGAGATCCATGACAGGAACCACTCTGACACATAGTAGGTGCTCAACAAATATGTGTTAGACGAACAAATGGGCACAGATCTACGTATAAGAAATCACACAAAACTTAGGCATCTTCCTAAGAATAGCAGCATTCCCACACTTGGGTGGAAGAAGGGGGAAGTCTAGCTCAAACTTCACCCAGGACCCGGCAAGGGTCAGACTGCCTAAGGAGGAATCTACTAACAGCATGCGTGTCCTTAGAAACATAGACAGGGTTAACCGGTGGCTGGAGGAGATGTGGGAGGGCGCAGGTGGGAAAAGTAGGAGACTGAGTCTTTCCTGACACCCCAGCTTTTACAGTGTTTGTGTGTGCAGCTTCGTCTCTGTAGAAAAAGTCACTAAATTGGGCAACTTGAACCCTTGGCAGGGAAGTATTCTGACACCTGGGAGCCCCGTGGCCTCCAGGCCCAGACCCTCCTAGAAGCCTAGTCTTGGAATCATATCTAGTTCCCCACATGGGACCAATGCAGTAGAAAGAAGACAAAGAGCAAAGGAAGCGGTTAAGTTTGTAGATAAACAAAGGCTGGTCTTTCAGTGAGAGACCTTGTCCAGAGATCTAGAAGGATCTTGATGTAAGCGTTTAGGATCAGGGGCTGAAGAGGGCACAGCAGTTATGAGTACTGGCTGCTCTTCTCGAGAACCAGGGTTTGATTCCCTTGATTCCCAGCATGCATGTGGCAGCTCACAATGATATTGACAAAAATGGCTCCAAAACAAAGAGCAGGTGTGAGGACGAGCAATTGCTACAACATTTCTTTCTGGGTATATTTGCTATAGAGGAGAATTCAGGAATGAGGTACACTAAGCCTTCTGAAGGACTTGTGTCTGTACCGGGCATTCTCAACCACAGCACCAACCTGCCTGGGCAGTGCTTTGATGGAATATCTCTGAAAACTGGGTATTACATAGACTTATAAAGAACTTCAATAATCTACTATTTAATCTGGGAACAAAATTGCATATGAAACAGTGATGGCCTGTGTTATAGGAAGGCCCTCTGTATATGTATTGCTTTTATTGGTTAATGAATAAAGAAACTGGCTTGGCCTGATAGGGCAGAGTAGAGCTAAGTGGGGAAAACTAAACTGAATGCTGAGAGAAAGAAAGCAGAGTTAGATAGACTCCATGTAACCAACGCCATAGACAGACGCACCAGAACTTTGATGGTAGGCCACAAGCCTTGTGGTAAATATAAATTAATAGAAATGGGTTAAATTAAGATGTAAGAGTTTGCTAGGAATATGCTAGAGTCATTGGCCAAGCAGTGTTTTAAATAATATAGTTTCTGTGTGATTATTTTGGGAGTCTGGGCAGCTCTGACAACAGGCCTGGGCTGCTACTTAATCAGCCCACTTCCTTCATAACATACGCCTTGGATAAAGATCACCCAGTAACAGCAAAGCAGCAGGTTAGGAGTCCCAGACTCTGACAGTCTGAGACACTTAAGTAGGATAATGACTGATTATGTTAAAAATGGGACCAAGGCCAGGACAGCTCCTGAAGGGCCTCCATACTGGGTTTAGTTTGTATTCTCATTTTACACCGTAAAACCACATGGTGGAATGAACAAGCAAGCAAGGTTTTACAGAAGCAAACATGGAAGTCGGCAGAGTGTTAGGGGCAATGACTCATGATTATAGTTATTCCTCCAGGTCATTCTGTCCCAGGTAGCAAGTGAAGTCCTGCTTGGCAAATGGGCAGTGCAAGCAGTGTGCTGGCAGATCTGCGACAACCTGGCACACATACTCGGGCTACCTGAAAAGAGGGAACCATCATTGAGAAAATGCCTCCGTGAGATATACAGCCTTAAAGCATTTTCTTAATCATTAATTTCATTAATCAGTGATTGATGGGGGAGGGCCCAACCCATTGGGGTGGGGAACACCTGAGCTGGTGGACCTGGGTTCTATAAGAAAGAAGGCTGAGAAGCCATGAGGAGCATGCCAGTATTTGTCAAACATTTATAATTTGTATTAAGTTTCCAAGTCAGTTATTTGGAAAGCAGCTGCCAGTTATTTGGAAGCAGGTTGTTACTACATTTAGGGAGTATTTCCTCAGGGACAGCAGAGAGAAGCTCTGGTACAGTTGGGAACCAAGGATGCACATCAGTCTGGCAACAGAACCTGGCAAATACTGTGTAAGAGTCTCCCAGGCACTACTGGGTTTGAGGGCATCATGAGGTTATAGAGAGCAGCCAACGTTTGACATTGTGTGGCAGGGTCAGAGTCTCCCTGAAGACGCTTTGGAAACCTCAGGAGGAAGGGACCATGGAGGGAAGTTGAGGCTTGGCCCCACGTAGCAGGGCTGGAGTCTCTGAAGAGGCAGGAGAGCCCATTGATGAAATGGCAGCCTCTGTTGCAGTTGAGACCCCAGCCTATTAGAGATGCCAGGACCATGGGACAACCACCAAAGGCAGCTGCAGGTTGGAGTCAAGCCAAACCGAGCCCACTGAACAAGCTCTGAGTGTTGCAAATCACAAAGCCAGAGAAGCGGAACTGCCCAAGCCCCTTGGAGCCCAGAAGATTGTGAGTAACCCTAGATGCCAGACTCTGAGATTCTTAGACTGTTAGATTTTGGGTTTGCGTTGATCTGATTGTAATTGTGCCAGGGTTCTTCTCTTTGGGGGTAAATAAGTATTTAACTCTTTTTTATTTTACAGGAACACATAGTTAAGAGACTTTGGTTATTATAAATGACTTTAAACTTTTAAAGTATTTGAGTTTTTGAAAGACTGTAGTATGGGAATAGTTTTTCTAGCAGTTTTTCTTGTAGTCTACCTTCACAAACTGAATTTTACCTAACCTCACAACCAAGCTAATCATGTTCTTCGAGACTACTTAAAGCTATGCACTGTGTATTCTGCTTCTTTAAATTTAACTATCTTTAAGAAAAACAGTGCAATCCACCTTACTCTGCACAGACTCCTCCTGTAATCAACTTTTGCCAGTTAAGCTGAACTCACAGCTTTAATCTTAAAGCATGTTTCCTAGTTCTCCCTCACAACCCCTCCACGCCCTTGACTCACAACAGTGTGCTTGTGTGAGATTTAGTGATTAGACCTAAGAGCCCTGCTGAAGGCAGCAACTTTTAGGCAATGAATGGTTCACAGAAGATGCTGAAACTCGCATGTGCATGTAGATTGATGACGTCTGCATATGGTTTGCTTGCCACTCTTGGTCAGTGAGATCAGAAAATCAACTTGTCTCACAAAACTCATGTAATATATTGATTAAGACAAAGCCCTTCATTCCTTTCTCATACCATGGTTAATCTGCTGTTCAGTAAATAGAAATAATGGCCCTTGGTTAGGGTGACTGGGCTCACTCTTGCCAAAATGACTCCAGGAGCCGGTCTCCTTGATGAGACACTGCCACGCTGTGCAACTTTTAAAGTTATGCTATGTTTTATTTTGTGATACTGACATGGCATCTTGGAGGATAAACAAGAAAGGAAAGGTCATGGTTTAACAGTGATGTGTTTGTGTCAAGTGAACAAGGAATCAATTGTGCGATTTAATTTTTGCCAGCTTGACACGAACTAGAGTCACCTGAGCAGACAGACTCTCAACTGCGGAACTGCCTCTATAAGATTGGTCTGTGAGCATTTCTGGGGAGCGTAGTCTTGACTGATGATTGACGTACGAGGGCCCAGGCTACTGAAGTCAGTGTCACTCCTGCACAGGTAGTCCTGAGTTACATAAAAAGTGCAAGTCGATTCAGCCGTGGAGAGCAAGCTGGTAAGGAACTTCCCTCCATGGCTTCTGCGTCAGTTCCTGCCCTGAGCTCCTGCCTTGACTTCCCTCGATGGAGGACTGGAA